AAGCAAGGACCACCATTTTTGACACAATTGTCTGTGACTCTGAGTACAGCTTGAATGTCTTCTGAATAATGAAAAATACGCCTCAGCTTTAAGGGAGGACTTGCTGGGTAAATGCTGAAGTTGCTTCCTTCAGATGTATTTGAGATGCTATTTGAAGGAATATCAGCCATTTCAGTTATGGAAAGGAATCTTTCTGAATACAGAGTTAAAATTTGCCTTTGACATAGATTCATATGGACACAGATGCAAATGTTAGTAAAAGTATCTGTAATAGGTAATATATGTTTTCAATATTGCATTGTTTTTGTGTTATTGTCACTTGAAAATGGCTTCTTACCCTGAAAACAAATTGTTTAGAGATTCATCAAGACACAAATTTGGGTATCAATTCTTTTTCAGCTTCATAGGAATATTATTTTTGTCTTTTTTTCTGTTTATTTTCAGTAAAGTAGAGGGCTAGGATGACATTGTTGAATTCGGATTTTATCATAAGATCTTACTGGTAAGGCCCTTAGCTTTTTATCCAAGAGCATTTAGGAATTATACAGAGTTCTTAATTAGAGAAGTGGCATTCAAAAGGCTCATGATGTAAACCTTTATACTGTGCCTATGATTTGGATAGATAGAGGGAATTTTTTAGAAAAGGAAAATAGGAGCCATTTGCAGTAACTCAAGAAAAAGTGGTGCTGTGAAGGTGGTGAGAGGTAATATATGAATTAAGAATCCATGACCAATAAGACGATGATGAATGAATTTAATTGCATTTATTCTGATAAAGAGCTTGTTTATAACAAAATACCAGAACCTTAATTATTATAGGGAACAAGGATGCTTTTTGAGCTCAGAATTCTGGAGGTCCAGAACATGACACCTGTAGCTCCTCGTGCTGCTCAGTTCAATGGCAAGAACTGGAAGGGTGTTGGTTATGTGAGAAAAGGGCCAAGCACCGAGGGCACCTTCACTTTGTAACAGTCCAGTCCTGAGAGAAAGAGAGTCGCTCATAAGAATGACACCACTTTCTCTTAATGACCTACTTTCCTTTCAAAGATTTCCATACTGCCACATTGGACACTAAGCCTCATCATGAGTCTTGGTGAGGGTAAAGAATAACCAAACTATTGTGGGGCTGAAAGAGTCAGGGGTGACTCCTGTCTCTTCTTTTCTTGGTCTCTAGGTAGAAAGAGATATTGCCACTGATGCAGAGAATACAGGAGAATGAGGAACAGGCATGGCATGGAATAGAGTTGTGAGTTCAGGTTTGGATGATGACTCTTGAGAGAAGCCAGGAACAGGTGAATAGGTAAAGGAGGCCATCAGAAGTCTGGAGGTCCAGGACTGAACCCCAATTGCATGTGTACAGCAATGCTGCATGAAGCCATGGCACGGGAGTGTCTGGTCACCCATCAGAGTTCTGCCATGAAATGTGCACAGCTGGGCAAGCCGGGGAACTTGTTTAAGAAACAGGCAGGATGTGATGCATGAGGGAGGGGAATAGGGAGCAGCACTTGGAAAAGCCAAGCTAGGAGGTCACTCTCTTCCTAGAGTTCAAGCAAGGAAAGGCCGAGAGGGGAGATGGGAGTCACTGGGGCTCATGGTGTCTTTGGTTGATCTCCCACAGTGGGCAGAGAAGTGAATAGAGGAGGAGGTAGAAACAAATGGTGAGTATAAGTGATATTTTTGTTTTTCTGGTCCTGAGCCTTAAACTCAGGGCCTAGGCTCTGTCCCTGAGCTTTTCTGTGCTCAAGGCTAGCACCCTACCACTGAAGCCACAGCACCACATCTGGCTTTTTCTCAGTAGTTTATTAAAATATAGAGTCTCACAGCCTTTGCTTCCCAGGCTGGCTTTGAACCACAAGCCTCACATCTCAGCCTCCTGAGTAGCTAGGATTAGAGGCATGAGCCACTGCGCCCAGCAACTTCCTTTCTTAGTAAGTTATGAGATTTTTGTACCAAGTTGATTTTATTTTGATTGAGATTGAAATCATTTAACCCTAGATAAACCATTTAAAACAAACAATTCACTGGCAATTCAATATAGCCACAGTGTTGTGCAGCCACGCCCTCTGTTTCTAGTATATTTTTAAAGTTAATGTTTATTATTTTAAGTAGTTGCACAAGGGAGTTACCCTACAGCACACCATTTTATAAGTACACTGCCTCTCGAGCAATGTGACCCTCTCCTCATTCTCTCCCATCTCTCCCCACCCCTCACCCTCCCTCAGTGTTCTTAATTTCATAGGATATGCATTAAATTTGACTGCATTCTCTCTGTCATTTCTCTTTATTCCTCTACCCCTTCCTGTGGGTGGCCTCTCCATACTTCAAGTGCCTATTTCCTGGTATTCATTGTATTGGACGATAAGTTAGTTTTCTAAGGAATTATACCATCTGAATTCTGCCCTACAAACACCAAACTTGAGTTAATATATTTGTGTGCACCTGCGTATAATCCCTTATGTGTTTGCTTGTACATTTATAAATTAGTTCTATTTCCAGTATATTTTTGTCATCCCAAAAGGAATGTCCAGACCCTTTGAGCAGTCATTGTCTAATTCTCATTTTACCCCGTGCATGGAATCTCTGTGTTCTGTCTTTAGGAATTTCCTAGTCTGCATGCTTCATATAAATAGAATTACATAACATTAAACCTTTTATGTCTGATTTCATTTACTGAATGTTTTAAGGTTCAGCACCTAATAGAGACACTTTGTTCATTATTTATTCCTTTAATTAATAGGTAGTTAAAGACTGCATAATGTTCCATTGGGTGGGTTTACCACAGTTTTCTTGTTCCATATTATGGCTGCATATTTGGCTGTAAGGTGCACTGTTGGCGTGGCCACTGCATATGCATACACTTATTTGATTATCTTTTTTTTCATTCCCTTGGGAATACCTCTAGAGGTGGAACCCAACAGATCCTAAAACTAAATATATCACAAATGGAAATATCCACAGGAAATATTGTATATTAGCTCAAAAATTGATGATGTGTGACAAGAATTGTACTCGTTTCCTTACTTATGTATCTGTACAAATCTGTACATCACCTTTACAATAAAAATGTTGACTTATGCATTTATGTTATTTCAATAGTTTATGTGCTGTCTGAGAGAGGATTGATGAGGAAGTTACTATGTATTAGTTAATTATCCCACCAAGAAATAAGAAAACAGTATATATACAGGTGTATGTGGATTTTTAAGGAGAGAAGCACCAACTGGGATAGATTCTTCTAAGAATAAGGCCTACACATGAAGAATTGGATAGACTGCACCACATAGAGGGCTGAAGATGGTTTTTGTTGTTGTTGTTGTTTTGTTGGTCATGGGGCCTGAACTCTGGGCCTGGGCGCTGTCCCTCAGCTCTTCAGCTCAAGGCTAGCGCTCTACCACTTGAGCCACAGCGCCACTTCCAGCTTTTTCTGCTTATGTGGTGCTGAGGAATTGAACCCAGAGCCTCATGCATGCGAGGCAAGCACTCTACCGCTGAGCCACCTTCCCAGCCCACAGTTAATGCTTTTGAAGAAAAGAAAGCCAGTTACTCTGTAGCTTGGCAGTGAGAGCATGTGATGGTGATGAAATGAACTGGTAGCACCCACTGGCACTAACTTAACAGCTACTTTGCATGTAAAATGATGACCGTATTTTCAAAATCAACTTTTATCTTCTTCTGAGAACCAACGACTCCTTTATGTTAGCTCTTTTGGCTTCTATTTCTCAGGGACACCAGTGGCTGGAAAGCAAGTTGAGCTCCATGAATGACGTTCTAGCTTCTTTCTAGATCCCATGAACTATATCATAAACAGTACATTAACAGGTTCATGTTTGCATTCCTTACGGAATTTTGGGTGATTTAAAGAAACATTCATTCTATATTCTTAACTGTCATTTTTTTGCCCAAGTCTTTCCTCTATAGAAATAAACTATGGAGCTAAAATTTTTATAAGATGTGGTTCTGTGGTATAATTCCTCAAACTGCCTACAGACTTGGACAAAGAGAGAGTTTTTATTGAATATCTATTAAGGGTTTTGTTTATTTGGGCTCATTTAAGTCATATAAACCACAAGAAAAAAGACACCAGGATAGGATAAATTATTCAGGATTCTGGATACTGAGACCACAGGAGGATACTCTTAGGAAAGAAACAAAAAAGTGCAATGCCTACATGCGTCTTCATATTTATATAAATTAATATGTATCAAAATAAACTCCAAGATATAAAAACAACCTATCTCTCAAACTTTTTTTTGATGATTCTGTCTTCTTTTTGTACAGTGCACTCAAGTGTATAGCTTAGGGAGAGTGTGTGGGATGGCACCAAACTCAAGGGGAAAAGGGTGAAAAAGTTCAGCAGTGGAGCTCACTGGACACGGATGAAAGTGAACTGTACAACTCATGGGTGGAAATGGGAGGGAGGGACTGGGAGAGAATGAGGACACAGATGACACTATGCAAAGAGATGTACTCATTCCCTGATTCCTGCACTTGTAATCCCTCTGTAAGTCACTTTTGACATAACAATAAAATAAATTAATAATTAAAAAAAGAAAGGGCAGAAGGTAAACCCAGGATAGGAAGGAAGACCCGCTGGCCCTAAAGTTGAGGTTTGGTCCACCATAGCAAGAATGCTCGTGAGGCTTTGAAGTCCTATGCTTGTGGCTAGCAGCGTGTGGCCTACCCCCCAGCTGAGCTTAGCAGGACTCGGACTCGGATGGGTCGGCTTTGTGGGGTTTCCAAGAGACTGAGATTGGGAGGGGGCCAGAGCCTGCCACAGGGTGACCTTCCCTAAGCCGTGTCACATCACTCCCCGGAAAAGATTTGGTGACTTACCAGGAGAATATTAATCTTTCTCATCAACGAGGCATTAGTCAGGGCTGACCCAGCGAAGTGTGTGAGGTGACCTCATTTTATTTCTCTATCATGATCGTGTGTAATTGATCTCAATAAGTCAGTCACAGGTTGTCCATTTATTCCTGTCCGGTTTGTGTGTGTTTCAGGCAGAGAGAGCGGATGGATTCGTCAGTCTGTCTGATTTCTGTGTGGAAAGAGCATCTGAGTGCAAGAAGAAACAGTAAGTTGTCTCTTACCTTTCCCAGAGCCCCGAGTCTGGTTCCTATTCATCTGTCATATTTATCCTGGGATGTGGCCACCTGGAATGGAGCAGAGAAAATGCTCAGTGCTGGAGAGCTTTGAGTGTTGCAGGGTGGCACCTTACGCACTCATACATACGTTTAGTTTTGAATTTCCTGGAATGCCATTGTGTGGTGCAGCTTTCCAATCCCGATGACTGTGTTGGGGATGGAGCAAAGGACAGTGCTCCCGCCCAGAATGGTGTGGGGGTGGGGAAGGGGGGGTCCGCATGGAAAGGTTTTGAGACTATAAAGAGAACCAGTCTTTAACTGGACTCACCAGACACAGCTGTGTGAGTAGAGGCCGGTTCCTCCTAGCTCATCACGGTACTGTCAACAGCTTTCTTGGGAATGAATTCTCTAAGTCTTAAGTTTGGGACTAAGATAGAGTTTAAGCCCCAAAGACTTGAGAACTAAAAGACTCCAGTTAATTGTTCTATCTATGGAGAAAAACCCCCAGGAACATCTGTGCCCAGCCCCAGAGCCCAGTAGAGGGCTGGTGCTGTACTCTACATCCCAGATCTCCAACAGCTCCAGAGCTGCCAACAGCTCTTCGCAGGGTCTGTTGTGCTGTGTTTTGTATTCGTGCCCTCTGTCACCTTTTTCTTATTCTTTCTTCTACCCTTAATAGCTTTAACCAGCTTTCTCAGAAAAGGATACTTCCTTATTGTTAACTAGTGAATTGTTTTCCAGTAAGAACAATTAAGCTGGTATTAGCTTTAATTCTTTGCCCCTCTAGTATAGCAGCATGACTTTGGTTGGTTCTTGTGGTTTTGACTTGCAGGACTTCCAGTGTAAATGGCAAAGTGGAAACACTTTCTGTGTCTGGTATTTTTTAATGCTTTGTATTTTTCCTTTAAACAAAAATCCACTTTAGATTTTTTCTTTACCCAAATGGAGTGCCTTAGATATGGCTTCTGATAAGTTCTTGCTGTATAGAAGTACCGTGCCTCATCGCTTTCCTATAAATAAAGTTCTGTTAATGAACTTGATTACTTTGCTTGGTGGAACTGGTCTGAGTATTTTGAAATGGCGTCTTCATGATGCTGTTTTAGATGATTGTATCTTTGTAGTAAAGCAATTGTGCTGATATGTTTTAGTGGAAGCTATTGAATAGCTATGACTGTCTTGATGTGCTAGATTGACCTTTAAGCAAGGGGGTCAATAAAAACCAGACAATCAAAACCAAGCAGTAGATATTTAATGTGATAGTTATTCTTGTAAGTGTATAAAGAAAGCAGATAAGCTTGCAGTGTCGATATTTGACTGATACACTTTCAGGCCCACTGATGGTTACAAACTTTAACTCTTGTGTTTTCATGCCTTTCTCCTTGTAGTGCATTTAAGATCAATCATCCTCAGATCAAGACCTTTTATTTTGCAGCTGAGAATTTACAGGAAATGAACGTGTAAGTAGAGGAAAATGTCAAATGCAATATTGCTGAGAGCAAATTTACTTTGGTTAGGCATGGGAATTTTAAGCCAGTTCCTATTAAATTACTATCTGCTTTATTTTTTGCCACTTTAGAGATTCCTTTCTGGAGCAACCACTCCAGAAGAAGACTGAGATCACCCTATGGGCAGTGGTGCCTTTGTGTTTGTTCTGTTTCCTCACAGTGTTTGCAATGGGCCTCTTCTGAGCCTCTTGAGTTAGGTTCAGTTCTTCACTTCATTTTTTGGTCTCAAGGATCTTCTGGTTCCACCTGAACAGCATTGAAAAAAAAATGGACCTAGCAGGGGTGGAATGACCACAATATCTGTAGTTACAGTCAAAACACAGCCAACAGTGACATCATCCCTCTGCTCCAGGGGTAGTATCCTGACACTTATTATATGCCTACTTCAAGTTCTAGCAATAAGATAATCACACTCAAGTCAAAAAGAAAAAAGAAAAAGGGAGTGAGAGAGAGAGAGAAAGAAAGAAGAGATCTTCTGTCCCTTAAAGTCTAAAAGACTTATTTTTGCTAATTGCTACTATAAGTTGTGGGAGGCCACTTACATTTCACATCTGTGTACAGCTGGGTAATCGGATGTACACGTTTAACTGTTGTATTTCAGAAGACCATTCTGAGCTTATCTATAATCCCAGCTACTCAGGAGGCTTAAAGTGGGGGGATCAAGGTTTGAGGCCAGTCCAGGCAAGAAAAGACAAGAGGTCTTCCTTTCTCCTCTGGTATTCTTCTGAAGGAAACCACTAAGTGGAATAAGAAGTAGACAGAAGTCCTTATAAGAAAAAATTTCCTTGTGAATTGGTGTCACAAGGAGAAAGATTTGAAAGTCTCGCGGAACTGATAGCTCCCAAGCATTGTGATTTTTCAGCTCCCATGTGCAGGGCTTAGCTGGTGTGTGTGCTTGTCATCCAGAACACATGTAAAATGCTCTTGCTTAGAGCCAATTCCATTTGCAACTTACATCCCTAGAGTCTCTCCCTTCCTGCTGCCCCTCTGGGGCAGACTAAGGCACATCACAATGGCTGTTCTTTTGAGAGCCGCTGTATGTGATTTGTATCATCCGGGGGGCACTAGCTAGAATTCCCAGTGTCTCTTTTTCCCTTCACACAACTGGTTAAAATATGTCGTTTATGGAATCTCTCCTGTGCGTGCCACTGCAGCAGATGCTGGGTGATGGGGTAAACATTCACGCATCCACCCATCCACCTACACAATACTCCTCCATCCAGGCAGACTACGTTGAGATGTGCCTTATTTATTTGGACACAATAATTCATTTCCTCTGCTTATTTGCCCTTCATCATTTTTCTTTGTCTTCTTGCTTTAGGAAATTAAAGAAAATAGAAGCTGCCTTTTATCACATGCAAGCACCCACCTACCCACACACCCACACACCCCCCCCCACACACATACACACACACACACACATGCACATACAGCTTCCTCTTCCCTGAGAAGCCCCATATGGGTAGGAGCATTTCACCTAACCTTTCAACCCTCTTCCACAGCACCTCTCATCTGCTCTACCACGTCCCTACAGAGGAGGGTAGAATACCTCACAGGAAGTTGGGAAACTGGGTTAGCTGTGCAATGCAAGGAATAGACAATGGAGTCTTCTAAATAAGCCTCATTTACTCCTGCAAAGAGAGAAGCTGCTTTTGTCCTAGTTCTGAGTTTAGCTTTTCCTCCGTTGGTCTTTTCAAACATCTGACATAAACGTTAAGAACAGATACACAAAAGGGTAGGATTTTTAAAACTTCATAACACTATTTTTTATAAGTGAAAGTGATAGGAATATTTATCAGAAGAGAAATACGGCAGAGAAAGGAAACACGGCATAGATCTGTCACAAGAAGACAAAACTTCAGCCCGCATCAACCATCTTGCTCCATCTTTTACTGCTAACTGATTTTTTTTTTTGCCAGTCCTGGGGCTTGAACTCAGGGCCTAGGCACTATCCCTGAGCTTCTTTTTGCTCAAGGCTAGCACTCTACCACTTGAGCCACAGCACTGTTTTCAGCTTTTTCTGTGTATGTGGTGCTGAGGAATCGAACCCAGGGCTTCATGCATGCTAGGCAAGCACTCTACCACTAAGCCACATTCCCAGCCTTGGTGCTAAGTGGTGTGTGGAAAGAGGCCCCACCCACAGGTCCTTACAGCCTGTGGTACCACTCAGACACCAATGAAGTCCACCTGGTTCTTGAGGGCCTTTCAGGAGAGAGACAGTGCTGCCCATTGTCCCGCCTCTCCCAATGAAGCAATCCCATCCGAGTGAAAATGTTCTCCCGTGTAGTCAGATACACTTTTCAACCAAGCTCCTTTCCTGGCTGTCTGAATCCAGTGTATTTCTGATGGATTTCCTCTCTGAGTCTCACATGGGAGTTACGTAGCTGCCTGATATAACCACCCTAACCTGCCACGTTCAGCCTGTTTATCTTCAGGTGCTGTATTCTCCACTGGCAGGTTCTTATGTAACAACAGATGGTGTTGTATGGGTATTAGCTGTAGCTATGACTTATACTACACCTTATTGGATTTAAATCAGTATTTGTTACAATTATCAAGGTCAAGAACGTATTATCTGTCTATGTTCTAAAGAGTTGGTAATTTACTTGAACTTCTGTGGGTGTTTCTTTTTCCAACTTGAAATCAAGACATAGATTAGGTTTTGGACTTAAAGTGCCTGGATTCCTGTTTCACAGAGAAATGATTTTAAGCATCCATTTTGTTTTCTTCAAAAAAGGCTACATGCAATGTGTTAACACTTTGAAGCGTCATTTAAATTCTTAACATTATTTATTGTAGTGAGGTCTTACAAAAATGCTTCCTAACATTAAAATTTTTTTTGTAGACCTTCTCAGGGACCTTAATGACTTTGCTTATCCTTACGGCTCTATTAATGACTGTTTAAATCTCTACATAAACTCAGTTAGGTAAGCAGACTCACTGGCTGGCTTTGAATCGCTATTTCAAGCATCATTTAAAAATTGCTTATCTGGCTCTTCATGGATAAATGGCCCATCATGTAGTGCTTGAATATTTCACTATTTTTTTCTATTAATATTACTGTTACTGAATTTTATTGTGCCAGTGGTTCAAAATCTGATATGAAGAAGTAATGCTGGAACTTAAGCCAGTTCCCGTTTTATTATCCTGAAGACTCCCCCTCCCCCCCTCCCCCCCCCCACCGTGGTCATAGGAAGAAGTCTTTCTCTGACCAGAGTACCCAGATTAGATGTGGAGATTTGTTTCACAATAACACTGAAATGCCTTTCTCTCTTATGATGAGCCTGGGTAGGCCAGTACGTGGTGGATGGGGAGGGACTTGGTGAGATGCAGGACTTAAGAGGTAAGGACATGGTTCTTTTTGGACATCCATCTCCTTGGGTAACTGCCTTTTTGGATGGTGACATTTCCCCTATGGACGATGAGTGAAAGCTTTGGTGTTCTGCAGGGATCCTCAATTTATAAGCACAGGATGAGTAATAAGGGCAATGAGAGAGTTGGTTTCTAAGCAGAGCTGGGAATTTCTGCCTTTCCTCAGACAGTGTTTGTGGGAAGAACAGTCTTGTTTTCTACATCCGTTTCCTAATACTGTGCATCTCCAACACACACATTCACATTACATGAATATACAACAAATTCCCAGCAAACATCTGTCATTCCCCTTATGTAAATATCAGCCTTGTGTGCATCTATCTACTTAGCCACCAATACAAGTTTATGTACTGCCAGGAGACCGAAAAAAGTTCTCAGCTGTTGAGGGGCTCTAAGAGGTGGGCTCTAGAAAGGAGAATGGTCAAATGGGAGTCTAGACAGGTACTGCTTTATCACAGCAAGGAGCTAATGGTGACAAGAAAAAGCAACTGGGTTTGGGGTAAGGGTTGAGGCAGTTTTTCTTTTTTGTCAAAACTCTTTACTTTGCCATGTTTTCATGTCTCTGGAAGGATCTTAGAGCTGCCGGTACCCTTAATTCAAAAGTATATGCATTTTTTGTCCTTGCTTTTAAACTTGCCTGTTTCACTTTTAAATGCTTTTTCAAATGGGAGCTCATGCAAGTATGGCATCAAGTGTGAGCCAAACACTACTAAAATGATATTCTTAAAGGGGAGTGATGGAATTTATTGTTTTGCCTGGTCGCCTTTTTAAAACGTACTTTTAAGTGTTTCAGTTAAGGAATGCACAAAACATTCTTATAAAAGTGAGATACTATAAAAGAAAAAGTGAGAGACTGCCCAAGCCCTTTACAACTAATTCAACTTCTCCCTGTGGGGCTAACCACTTCTGAGAGTAAGTTGTATGTCTTTTCTGATGCTTTTCTGCATGCAGATATACAGATAGATAATTGTACACACAGATGTATCATTGTACAGTACATTAGGGTAGGCTAACTGTATTGCTCTAAATTTGTGCCTTTCAATAACCAGTGTATTAGAAATTTTCAAGTCATTACTTCTCCCTTTATCATTTTATTAGCTTCCTTTTAATATGGCATTGATGGAATCCACGTGATAATATATGTATCCATTTCCCATTAACAGCACTTTCCCAAATTTGTGTGCCCCCAAATGTCTTTTTGTAGACTAGCTATTGGACAAAGAGAATGGAATTTAAATTTTGAATAATATCTAAATCCCTGCTCAAAATCGGCTATGGTTAACTCAGCAATTTTCTCCTTAGAAATCAATGATATTTTTAATCTCTGACAATCTTTGCCAAATCTACTGATTGGCAGAAATTTTTCCTGTGCTTAGACGAACATTCTCCAAAGTACTGTGATTTTTTTTTTGATGGTCTTGGCGCCTGAACTCTGGACTTGAACACTGCCCTCAGCTCTTCAGCTCAAGGCTAGCACTCTACCACTTGAGCTAGTGCCACGTCTGGCCTTTTCTGCTTATGTGATGCTGAAGAATTGAACCTAGAACCTCATGCACGTGGGGCAAGCTCTCTACCACTGAGCCACCTTCCCAACCCTGTGATATATATATATATATATATATATATATATATATTGTTTGTTGTTGTTCCTTTGTTCTGCTATTCCGTTGGCTGAGATGAGCATTTCCTGGTTGCTATGGCATGATCTGAGCCCTGGGACTGGTCTAGTCTTACATGGCAGTTAGAGAACTCAGGCTTATTGTGGTGCTGAAGACAACTTGTTAAAAGATGTCATCTTCTTTTTTGTCTGTGGAATTTTCTATTTTAAGAGCAAATTTATTATATTTTTTTCCTCTCAAAAATGAGCACAGCAAAATCATGGTTAGCTGAAACTTGGGTAAGAATTTCTAAATGGTTCACAACTGTAAATTTGGAAATATAGAATGTTTATGTTTATACCTGCTAAATAAATAATTCATGGTGCATTGCATGACTAAGAGAAATGAAAACTTTAAATGAATTGATAAATGGTAAGTCTATATTTGTTGACTTAGGCAATTATTGAATGCTCTATTTTTTTAAAGGAAAGAATGAATACACAATATGGAGTATTTAAAAATATAAAAAAAAACTAGAAATAAGTAGGAAACAGTTCTCCTAGATATTGACTGCCTCAAAGCAACATTTTTCCTTTCAGAACAAGATATATAAGTAGGAATCTATGAGAGACACATTTTATTTCATATCTTTGAAAAAAATTGTTTTCAGATGTGTTTCTGATAAAAACTTGAGACGAAACTACAGTGGCTTGAAATTACAAGCCGAGTTTGAGTTTCCTAAGATATACCTAATTCTATTTTTGGTTTGGTGTTTAATTGGAATCAATTATCAATGAAATGATAAATCAGTAGAGAAGAGAACCTTGTTGCTTTTTTATCGTACATATTTTTAAAGGAATTAAAAATTTTCCCAACTTAGAAACCTCTGTTAAACTCTAGCTGTAGATCTTCTGCCGAGTGATATAAGAATCTTTCTGGTGCAAAAATGGATGGTCTCTGAAATACATCAACATTATTAAGAATGATGTATACATATTTTTAATAGTCAAGTGATTAAATTCAATGATAAATGTTTTGATGGTTTCAACAAGTTCCTGATGCATGATCACGTAAGAAGGTGGTTGTTCATATATATAGGATATTTAATTTAGCTTTCCAGTTAAGTTAGATAGCACAATGGCTTTCCTCGTTTATCTTCCAAAGCATACCTCAAGTAAAGATAGTAGCCAAGTCCTATAAAGCCAGAGTCCCAGAATTTATACTATGCATGGCAATATTTATATGAACAGTGGAATTAAGACTTAACTTCAAGACCAAGTCTGACATGGGGTCCAATCTTGATGGTCAAACATCTACTTTCTATTTGAATCTTAGGTGGTTAAGTAAGCTTGGACTAGCTGTAACCCATCAAGAAACAACTACAAAGGATGAAGGTTTGTTTTATTTCATATTTCTGAAAATTTAACATGAATCATTTTTTTAGAAAGGCAAAAAAATTGCAGTCTGTGTAGTCGGATCCTGATGAAACAGGATTTGGCATTTTAAGTGATTTGAAATATAGAGACAGGCACAGTCATGCAGATTTATCCACATGAAACGGGGCCTCCTGTGCCAGCCCCGGGATTTTTGCACTTCACCCACACATGAGAAGCCGGGGCTTCACTGATATCTCAAACAAATGCCACTGCAAATGTTTCATTACTCTACTCACGTACATAGGCATGAACTTGTCATGAGCAAGTCAGATGATTTTCATCCCCCTATTTTCTCTCTGATAGTTTTTAACATTTCTGCCAGGTGTGCTGAAACTAATTTCCCTGAAGTTGCATGAGGAATCTGAAAGTCACATGGGGACACACACTGTATTTTTAGTGCCATCCGTGGCTTTCAGTGTTCAAAAGCTACAGCATTCTCCTTCTACCCAGTGATGCGATTGCCCAATGTGGAGACCAGCAAGGCTGCAGCCAGGGCTGCATAGCAGAGCCACTGTTGATAAACTCGGACCACAGAAGATTTGGGGATTAGAAGAAAGGAGTTACATCTTTTAATAACAAAACCATATAATCTTAAATTTAAAATTGAAATGTGACAAGTTGATTTCAAACAAGGGAATGTAATAGGGTGAAATTAGTTTCCTAGTCATCTTCTTGGCCTTCTTTTCTTTAAAATAACTGCCCAATGGGTGTAGATTGGGGGAGGGGGAGCACCAAACAAACAAACAAAAAGCTCTCCTGGTATTGATGATCTTCCATGCCCGGTCCCAAGCCCTTCTGCTGCTGCTTCTGTTAGTTCTCAGGGGCCCCCCAAATACCTGGCTCAGCTTAGCACTCCTTACTTTTTTGATACACCATGAATTGTTTAGTTACAGGCAGATGCCACTTTCTCAGCTCATTATAGTTTGTACCCAATCACTACTGATTTTCTTCACCCCTGAGCACATGCCTTCCCTCTCTGAGGAATCATTTCACTGTCCCTCAGCTGCAATAGGTCCTCTTCCTGCATACTGCGTGTTCTTTGAGGTCAGCAACCCCGTGAGGCTACTTGTATCTCCCTGCTATTTAATGCCTTTGTACCAGATTCACTAGATTTGTGATGTGGAAATTGGGTTGAAATTGCAGAGCCAGATGGAGAAAAACCTTCGCTTATAAATTATGGGATAACTGCAAGTGTTAACATGCTAAGCATTTTCTTTTTCTTTTCTTTCCTTTTTCCCTTTGTTTCTTTTTGCTGTAGAATGCTATAGTGAGAGTGAGCAGGAAGAGTCTGAACTAGCTGGGGAGACACCCCCACCTCCTTATGCTTCCCAGACCTCATCGCCTGTGGTACGTACAGACACATGCAGTCTACTGGTCGGTGATCACATGCGTCAAGCTCATTCTTTCCAATTAGACAGGGACTGCTTCAATTGATGAAATTTCAAATTAATCTAAGTTATTTTTAAGACGACTCTAAATTGCTCTTTGGGGACCTGTCTAAGAGCAGCAGCAGTTCCTGAGGTGCTGATTTTGTCCCTCCTCCACATGGAACCGTGGTAAAGGTTCAGGATCTGGTGCCTGACCTAGTCATGGATCCCGCTTAGAGGATTCATGGAAATGCAAAAGGATTCTAAATGGTAGGCCAATGTTAATTTAGACCCTACCTGTTCTCAGAGAGGACTTAAAAGTTAGAATTTTGTCAAGATTGAGACTTAAACTGAGGGCTTCCGGCTTGCTTGATTTGCTCCCTTGGCTAGTCACCTCTCAATTTGAGCCATGCCTCCAGTCCAGTTTTTTTCTGGTTATTTTTTAGATGGAATCTTGAGATTTTCTGCCAGGGCTGGCTTCTAACTGTGCTCCTCCGGACCTCAGTGTTCTTAGGATGATTCGCAGTAGCTCCCGGCATCTGACTTCAGAAAGGTTTAAACTTCTTTGCCTGGCTGTGTATTCTGTAAATTTCCTAGAGTAGGTGAAAGGGACAAATAGAGCATTAAAAGAAAAGTCAGAAGATGGGAAGCCAGGAGTGGGATTAGTTCATTAATGTTATAAGTGGGATGATTTTTTTATTCACTAGGGATAAATCTAAATTTCATTCTAAGCTTTAGTAGTTTAGGTTATTACTGGGTATTATGATTTCCTTTTTTTCTTAAAAACTCTACAAAGGGTCAGAAAGTTATCACTGACAATGTGGACTTAGATGTTTTTGTTTTTCTAGGTTGGCCTGACAGGCTGATTTGAGCTTGGGATCTTTCTTCTTCAACCTCCTGAATAACACCTCCACCATGCCTGGCCTATAGTTATAGATTTTGCTTAACTCACCTACTTATTTTTTTTTTTTTGTCGGTCGTGGGGCTTGAACTCTGGGCCTGGGCACTGTCCCTCAGCTCTTCAGCTCAAGGCGAGCGCTCTACCACTTGAGCTACAGCGCCACTTCCGGTTTTCTGGTGGTTTATTGGAAATAGGAGTCTCATGGTCTCTCCTGCCCGGGCTGGCTTTGAACCGTGATCCTCAGATCTCAGCCTCCTCAGTAGCTAGGATTACAGGTATGAGCCACCAGCGCCCGGCCACCTACTTATTTTTTTGGTGGTGGTATCGAACTTGTCCTGTCATGCCAAGTACACACTGTAAATATGCACTCTACCTCTGAGCTATAATCTCAGCCAGATTTGTGGATTTATATATTTATCATGTACTAGAATTTACACAAATGCTTTGAAGGTGTCATCATTTAATCTTCAAATAACCTTGAGAAGTTGTATTACTTAATTTGCATTTTACTAACTACTAATAAGGCTACACATCTTTACAGGTTCATTAGCTACTTGTATTGTCTCTTTAGTGAAGTGTACATTTATATCTGAGGTCTCTTGTTTTTCTTCTCCTTTTTTCTGATTAGTAAGATTTCTTAATTTATTATTCAATACCCAAGGATAATATATAACTGTTAGCTAAATACAAGCACATCTCACTTCTTATTTTTAAAAAAATCATTTCATGATTTCTTCTTGTAAGCCTATATTCTTGATTTGAATGTGTCAGCTTTATCCATTGCTTCTGTAGGGCTCTGAAACCAGTTTTTGACCCCAGGCTCAAAGTCCACAAGTTCCACCCAGCAGGTCTGACCAGCTAACTTCTCTATGGCAGATAAAAAGACACAATAAAGGGCCAAGAAGGAAGATTTGTTACATGGCATCGGGGGAGACAGCACTTCAGTTCCCCTTTAGCCATCTTTGTGATATAAGTATGAGGGAGTGAAAGGTGAGAGGTAGTCATGATGATTTAATAGTCTTGGTTGATCATTATTTTAGTCTTTTAGAAGAGTTCTAGAGAAGTTGCTAAGTCTGTCATTTCTGGTCAGAATAAGCAAGTCCTCACTGGTTGGTAGGTAACCTGTCCTCAGAAGGCTCTACTGTTCTATAGAAGTGGTTTCCATCTCTTTTCATAAAGATACTATGCATCAGAATGTCCTTCCCTGAATCCAAGGTCATTGTAGAGTGGCTATGGAGAGAATGGCTTAGAATAGAAACACATAAAACGGAGACAGTTATGCTAAGCTTTCCTCCTGCTTTTAATTAATCTGGGGGGTCAGCTACCAATGGAAAAAAAAACCACTCCTGTTCCCCCCCACACCCCACCTCACCAAACAGGTTATAAATACCTCTAGAGCTAGTTAGTCTTTTTTTCTGGTTTAAAAATGTTTCCTATCTTAAGATCATAGAGACGATATTATGTTTTACAATGATTGAGGAACCAGGTTTGGGAATGTTGAACAGCACAGTAAACCAAACACTTGAGGCAAGAATCTCTGTGGTCTGGCTTTATAGTAATTATTCATTCCACTGTACCAGAGTACTTGCTTATCCAGATACCCAAAGCTCAAGGATAATTGGCTGGGCACAATGACTCTTGCCTGTCCTCTTAGCTACTTGGGAGGTAGAGACCAAGAGGATTATGGTTCAAGGTCAGCCTGTGCAAAAAGCTTGCCAGATCACATCTCAATCGATAATAAATTGGTTATGGCACATGCTTGTTATCCCAGCTACACAGGATGTGTAAATAGGAGGATCTTTGTCCAGGTCAGCCCTGGGAATAGACACAATACCCTATCAAATAATATATAAAACAATAAAGGACTGGAGGCAACACGAGACCCCTAGTACCTGGGGCTGGGAAGGTGACTTGCATAGAGTCACTTGTAGAGTGCTTGTCTTGCATACATGAGGGCCTGGGTTCGATTCCTCAGCATCACATAAACAGAAAAAGGAAGTGGTGCTGTGGTTCAGGTGGTAGAATGCTAGCCTTGAGGTGGAGAACTGAGGGACAGAGCCCAAGCCCACAGTTCAGGCCCCATGACTGACAAACAAACAAACAAAAAGCCAAAAAAAACCTCAGTACTTAAGAAAAATCAAAATAAATAAAAAACCTCGAGTTTAAACTGAGTTATTAGTCAAATGTTTAAAATTTTCTAAGTTGATCAGTTTTTGGACAGGCTACTAGCGCTAGCATTTTTCTTAAGCAATATGTTGGAAAACAGTCAAATAAATGTTGAATAGGTTTTTTTTTTTAATTCCTTAGCAACAGAATATGTTCTTTCTGCTCACATATTTGTGGGCAGATTTTGTTTTTGTTTTCTCTCTTTGCAGAAAAACAGACATCTAAAGTATTTGGTTAAATAGCATTCAGGATTTTTATTTAATAAATGAAGTTAAAAAATAAATCTTAGTACCTTTACCCAGTGCATGATTCTGGATATAAACTTGTTATCTAATGAATAGTTGGCAAAGAGTTTCTCCTCTTCTGTAGGCTTTTTATTTTGAGAATTCTTTATTTTGAGAATTGTTTCCTTTGATGTGAAAACATTTTTTTTACTTTAATGTAATCCCATTTGCCAGTTCTCCTCTTATCCTCTTCCTCCCCCTCCTCCTCCCCCCTCTCCTCCTCCCCCTCCTCCTCTTCTCCCTCTCCTCCTCCTTTCCTCCTCTTCTACCTCCTCCTCCTCCTCCTCCCCC